ATTGGAATATGGTTTACTACTTGATTGTTGGTCTAGCTTTAATCTTGGTGTTAATCTCTGATTGTCTAGATGTTGATTCCTGGCAAAGGAATGTTTTGGTCGTTTTGTTTCCTTTTTGCTTCTTCCTCTCTATCACCCAAATAAATGTCTAGAATTTGGTCATGAAATCGGGTTTCCCTGCAGTGATGTTATTTCAACTGCACTAATATGCTGGATCTCCAGATGCTCTTTTGATTTGTTAAAAAAAATAAGATGTTCTTTATAAAATGAGCTATTTCAGTAATACATCGTATTAAACATAATCTTAAATGTTAGATTTTATGTAACCGTTTGAGAATATATGAACCAGTAATACAGAAAACAAATCACCTTCCAAGTTATTAACTATAAATATATCCTCACTTAATAACAAACACAGCCAACTGTAAATAATTTTTTTATTGTGTTATAGTCTGAGAAGTAATGTAAAGCCTTATACCATTTCTGTATTCCTCATAGCTGAGAAAGGATTTTTGCATCCTTAAATATACTTTAATGTTTTATAATTCATTGCAGGAATTGTGTTTCAGTGCTGTCACAAACATTTGCATGCAAGGCGCTGTAAATATCTATTTTTATATATTCATTCAAGGTCTTGTAAAACTATATTTATTGGGGTGATGTTCTGTCCCTCCTCTCTTCTTTCTAAGCCAAGGGTAACTTGGAGGCCATGACTAGAACTGTATATTTGTTTTTTTCAGAATTATATTGTAATCCCCCTTGAGCATAGGGTATACTCAAATTTGCTAAATTTCAATGCATAGCTGCATAATTTCCTTTAGTCTGTGTCCTGACCCCTGTTTAAATCTGTATTGAGATGTTCTAAAATCTTATTTCTAAAATAACATAAAGATGATAGTAATGATCTATATATTTTAATTTGAAAATGGAAGAAAAAACCATGCAGACCTAGCACTGGAATTATTTTAAAATGCTGATCATGTAATTATGCTCTTTGCTTCTTCTTTCACTATTGTATATGATTGTGACATTGTGACATTGTATATGAACTGCAAGTCTTTTTTTTAATTCATACTGCCTGCTCAGTATTTTTTCAGTATCAGTATATCAGGAGGTCAGTGTATGCAATACAAATGTTGTGTCAGCACAAAACTACTGGCAAGCTTCAATGCTCTTATACTGACAGTGCTTTTTCTGTAGTTTTCCATGGGTCTAAGAAAATTATGTGTGGCTAACTTATAGTTGCTTAGGATAATAACAATAATAGGCTAACTTGTATTTCCCAATTCCAGGAAATTGGAGAAATAACAGTGGCCTGCTTTGGATGTAATGATAAACCATAGTTTAGCATTACTGTAAAATTCAGAGCATTTCACTTACTTTAAAATAAAAGCAGTTTTAGTAACTGTGATTAATCTTTGCTGGTTTCAGTAAACCATAGTTTAAAATAAGCAGAACTTCTACTTGGGACATTAGTTTAAACTAGTATTTAACAACCGTGGCAACTTGAAGATGCGTGGACTTCAACCCCCAGAATTCCCCAGCCAGCCATGCTTGGGGAAGATTGGGAAATATTTATTTCAATATTTCTTTTCTTATACTTGACTCCTTGTGAATGTTTAGTTACAGCCATTTCCCCTTCCTCCTGAAACCTGACTATATTGCTGGTCAGAATGAGCCTTTCTTATCACCTGAAGTGACTATTGTTGTTGATAACAGATCTACCTGGCATAGTGGACTTTCAATCCTCTATACTGAATAGAAAGAAGGAAAGTCTAGTTTGTGTGCACAATATTGTCCTGCTGGCATGCAGCCAGATTCATTATTACATAAAGCTGGAAAAAATACGCAGTGATTATTGGCACAATACGAGCTCATGTGTCTAACTTATCCCAGAACTTGTTTGCTATAATTTCATTAATAATCCATGTGCAAATAACTGTTGTAGCTTTTGCCAAATTTCTGGAGACACAAGTGATGCTAGTAAGCTACATCTGCTTGATGTCTAGAGTTTTTTTTTCCATAACATTTTTGAGCTCTATGAAGAGTTTTATAAGTTCGTTGCATCATATACTGTTGCGCTCCTGATCATCCCAGAATGCACTTTTTCTTTCCATTCTGTGTTTGAACTGGAAACACTCTTTTTTCATGCTTCATCAGGAATACAATGTGTACACATGGATGGCAGTCTTGTGGAGGACATCTTTAATTTAGGCTTTTAAAAATTATTTGGGCTTTTGTTGGAAAAGATTGATCAAACAATGTAACACCTGTTTCAGGCTTTGTGTGTTTCTAGCCTCAATTTGATGGGAAATCTTGCTGCCAATTTTGGCACAAGTGGTTAGAAGGGATTAGCAAGAAAAAAAAGGATGCTCAGGGACCTCATGTAACGATGTGACTTCAGTTTTTCTTCAGATTGCTTTAAAGGGAAATAAAAGAGTTGAGGTATGTGTAATCTACAGTGCAGAGAACAGAGTTGTGAAAGGCAGTAGCCACACTCTTTGAAAGTGAAAGTGGAACTCCTGTGCCCTGAAAAGAAAAATGCAGTTACTTTTGAAAGCTTGATAGCTCTCAATTTGCAGATATGTATATTCTTTCAAAATATTTGGCATGATTTCAAGAAAGGGCATGTTGCTTTCAGAGTCGCTAATAGTATATAAAATCCAAATATGCACCATAATTAAAAACTGTTTAAATATAATGTTATTAGTTGCCTGAATTCTAATATATTTCAGTGCAGAAATTCTGAAAACTCTTGCCCTTCACGTTTTCTGGAAAGAATCAGGATTGTTTCACATGGCTTGAGTTACTTAGTGGCTGGCTGAAACTTTAAGCTTCTTAATATTTTGCCCTATTTGTTCCGCTGTTGTATATCTGATTCTACATCTGGTCTTCGGTAGAATGATAGCAGATATTTCCTCTCCCCCCACCTCGGCCTTTCTCTCTCTCATGGCTCTCTGTGCAGTTTTCAAATGTTTTTTTTTGTGTGTGTGTGTAAGCAAAATGCCCATTATCCTGACTGGCTGTTTTACTCCATTCACAGTCTAAGTGCTTATGAAGATAGTTGCAGCATCTGTACCCTTTGATCCATAAGGCAACTGAAAAGAGATGTCAGTTGGATAATAAATAAGCCACTCACTTAACAACGTCATGAACAATTAGAAAACAGAAAATACTCATAGACATAGAATACTCAGCCTGTGACTGTAATGCAGCCTGCTCATTATGGTTGTAAATTGTGATGGTCATTAAGTGAGTCATCCATATGATCAACTTGCTTAATGACCACAGTCTCTGCTTGTGACCTTTGAGCAGAGCAAGGGGCCTCAGAAGATGAGATAGGCCCTGGGAGGCCTGGCACAAACTCAGGTCCTTAATGCAGCACATAGGTCCCCCAACTCATAGGTGGCCAGCCCTGGGTCTTCCCCAACCTGTGAGGCACCCCATGCTTCACTTCCTGCCCCGCTGGGCCCCAGACTCTTGGGCCTACCTCCCACCTGCAGTCCTTGCATGCGCTTCCCAATGGGTCCCACACCCTCCTCCCTTGATCCACTAACCTTTTCAAAGATTGCCTTCAGGAACAAGAACTGGCCAATTTATTATTCAGAGGCCACACGGTGCCATCCTGGAAGCAGGTATCGTTTTGGGAGCAGCCACAATTCTCAGATTGCAAGAATCAAAGCTGCTTTCAAAGTGGCACCAGCTTCCAGGATGGCGGCCTGCAGCCTCTGTATATAGGGAGGCCGCTTGGCAGATTGGCAGCTTCTTTTTCCCAAAGATTATTTTCAAAAAAGGTAAGTGAAGGGAGATGTGATGGGGGATGGAGGAGGGTGTGAGACCCAGTGGGATGTGAAGTAAGCCCAAGGCCTGAAGGGACTCAGCTGGGTGAGAGGGTAGGCCCAAGGGACCCAAGGGGTGGGATATTTGGAAGATAAGCAGGAGAAGCTGGCTGCAGCATTCTTGTGGTCAGTTGGAAGACCAGGCTGTTTGCCGAATGCTCAAATTTTGTTAATGTGACCATGTGACCAGCTGCCTTAAGTCCATTTGTTCAGTCTCGTTATCATTTCAAATAGTCGTTAAACTTAACAGTTGTAAGTCAAGAACTGTCTCTATCTGAAACAACATGGAAGCTTCATACTTGTTACAAAAAGCAAATTCCAAATAACTTAGTTCTTGATTCCAATATTTATTTATTCTAATATGATATTATATTCTGCTAACCAAAAGATATATAACCTATAGCCGCAAAGGCTACCCCAAACCCCCAGAGTCTTAGATATATTGCTCTGAATTCCTACAAAGCCTTCTTTAAAATATAATTCTTTATACAGCAGGAAAAGGTATACTGATTTCATTAAGAATAATATTACTTGTTTCTATTAATCCAATTTGTTATGTCTTGGGAACCGGTTGGGGTTCCAACCGGGTCCGCTTTTTAAGCAGGATCACCAACCGCTCCTATTGGCTGGCGCCGTTTGACAGCCGGCTATATAAAGCCGGCTGTCAAGCCAAGCCAGCTGTTGCTCGCACGCTAGTCTGCCCGTTGGCTGGCAGACGCGACAACCACCGTTCCTTAAATAAAGTTGTTAACTGCATGCCCTGGTCTAAGCCTCTCCTTTCCTTCGATCTACAACACAATTTAAACTTCATCAGCTTTAATATTTGCTGTAATCCTGCACAATTTTTGGATTATGCCCTTCTGTACACCATTCAAAGGCCTAATGAACCCAGGATAACAGGGGGAGGTAGGTTGGACAGAAACGGGGTGGGGGGGTGGGGGGTTGGAAGCTGATCAATTAAAATTTTTGGGAACTATTGAACTCTACTTGGATGTGACATTGAATGAATTATTTTCTCAAGTTTAGGCTTCCATCTCTATTTTTACCGTGGATTTATACTGTGGAAATTTGCTATGCTAATGAGTAACAAAATGGCTAACACACTTATGATTTTTTTGACATATCCAGTAAATGAGTTTATCAATTATTTCACCAAATTAGGTTTGGTATTCATCCTGTGGCAGGTCGTATGCCTGGACAACTGAATGTACTGCTTGCAGAAGCCGGTGTACCATATGACATTGTTCTAGAAATGGATGAAATTAATGAAGATTTTCCAGGTGAGAGAAAGATGATAACTTTGTTGCATTTATGCAACAAATGATTTGTTTATTCTAAAAAGTAGTCTAATATTATACTCGTTTGTGTATATAATAACTAACAATAATAATTCCAAACACACTGACAATGTCTTCTCAAATGGTGACAAAACATTTTCAACCAAATTGCCAAACTCGGAGCTCAAACCAATAGCCTAAATAATAATTCCAAAAGACAATGTTACTTGGAACAGCTTACATCCTGAGATGCTACTTTCAACACCATTAAACAATATCTTTAGCACCATTAAACAACATCTTTATGAGCCATAGTGGTGCAGTGGTTAGAATGCAGTATTGCAGGCTAACTCTGCCAACTGCCAGCAGTTTGATTCTCACCAGCTCACAGTTGACTCAACCTTCCATCTTTCTGAGGTTGGTAAAATGAGGAACCAGATTGTTGGGGGCAATCTGCTGACTCTAAACTGCTTAGAGAGGACTATAAAGCACTGTGAAGCTGTATACAAGTAAGTGCTATTGCTATCTGCTTATCCCAGGTCTTGGGAAGGACTCATCTGATGATATGCCAAGTCCAGTCTAAATATCTGGCTGACTGTGTGACCAACCATAATATACTAACAGGGATCTTGCATCCAATCCCAAAACTTCTGGAGCATCACTTGAACATCTTTGGCATTGACAAAATCACTATGAGTCAATTGCAAGAGGCAATTTTACTTGGAACAGTTTAAATCCTGTGATGACCTCTTGTGTCTTTATCAGAGAACATCTGTATATCCCAAGTCCTTGGAAAAAAGAACTTGAGAGGTAGATAAAAATACCAAACCCAGTCTAAACATCTTACTGAATGTATGGCCAGCCATAATAATACATTAAATTTACATGTCACCTGACTTCAATTATGTTTGCATCCAAATCTTTCTTTAAAATTAATGCTCCAACCAAGCGATGTTAGGAGTGTAAACCTGCTAGAGTCAAATTTGAATTCTGTTAACTTCATGAACGTGTCTGTGAATTTTTCTTAGGAACAGTGCAAAACAAATTTGCCTTTGCCTTTTTCTGAATTTTTTGTTTAAGTCTAACATATAAGGTTGAGATTTCCTGACAGCCTCCCATCCAAATACAAGCCATATCTAAATTGCTTAGTTTTGGGGGATATGCCAAAGTCAGTTAGGATTACAACCTAATCACAATACACAAATAAAAGAGAAATAAATAGCACTCATTTAAGCATAGTACATAAAATCATATGTTACAACGTCTTACCAGTTAATCAATATTTCAGTTTTAACAACAACACGAGCGCACAACAGATATAAACTAAATGTAAACCAAACTCGATTGCGGGAAGTATGATTTCAGCAACAGAGTGGTCAATGTCTGGAAATCACTACCTGATTCTGTTGTCACCTGCTCAAACCCCCACTCCTTTACCCTCAAACTAACCTCTATTGACCTCACCCCATTCCTAAGAGGTCTGTAGGGGCTTGCATAAGTGCACAATCGTGCCTACCATCCCTGTCCCATTGTCCCCAATTATTAGTTTCTATTTCTTGTATTTAAACTTATGTTTATTCTTGTTTCTGTTATATTGTAAGCTATTGAATGAGTGAATGAATGAATGAATGAATAAATAAATAAATAATAAAATAAACTACTAACCTAAATAATAGTAGTTTGAAGGTAGTACTCACTACTAAAACAGCCATTCTTTATATCAGAGTTTTGCAACATGAAGTAAGACAAATATGTTATTTCCAAGATCTAGTTTTAGGGAGTGCCATTCTTGCCCATTATAGTTCTTAGTGGGATGAGGGGCTTCAGATTAAGAGATATCTAACCCAGAATTCATTACTAATAATAACTGGAGTTCTATTCATTAATGTATATGTGTTTTTTCCTTGTATTTTTATTGCAGAAACGGATCTGGTCCTTGTCATTGGAGCTAATGACACAGTTAATTCAGCTGCCCAAGAAGATCCAAATTCTATCATTGCTGGAATGCCTGTTCTTGAAGTTTGGAAGGCAAAGCAGGTGAGTGACAAAATATTGTAATAGAAATCCCATGCCTTATTGATTTCTTTAAAGTCATTTACATATTCAGATCTCTGCTAATATCCCACAACTCTTCTTTTTTTCTTTGAACAGCTTAAATCAAAATGCTAATAACTGTAGATAAGTACCTAAGATGGTAAGGAAAAGAACACAATTATTCGAAAACTGTCCAATGGAGGCAGTACCATTAGCATCCCTTTTTCCCCACCCCGATATTTTTAGTGGGCTGATGGGTTTGCTAAAAGTACACAGTTAAAACTGTGATTTTTCTGGGGTGAAGCAACTGTATTGTTGCTTTCTTTGATACACTGGTCAAGAACCCCATATCATCTTGAGATCATTCAATCTTTGAAGAACTCTTTTTTGATGGGGAAAAAAAGGGATACCATCACAATTATTTTTAAGATAGCTTTTAGTTTTCCTTAGTTGTAATTGGTGAAAGGTTTTCCCTTATTTTATTTTATTTTTTAAAAATATGAGGGCCAGTAATTATCAACTAGAGCTCTGTGTATCCTCTACCACCACAATTCATAGATAAACCTTGGAAACTATATTACATAACAAATAGAATCCTTTCTATGGTGTTTTGAAGAAATAATATATTTTGGAATGTTTTGGAAAAACGTAGCAGCTTAAGACTCATTGTAAAGAAAGGGAGGGATAAATATCAGAAGAATAAAACTTCAGGGAACTCCATATCATGAAAAACTTGCTGTGATGCAGCAGTTAAAAAGATCAACGGAATCTTGGACTGTATTAAGGAAAGGATGGTGCCCAGATTATGGCAGATAATGGTTCTATGGTGCTTTGTGCTGGTTAGGTCACACCTGTATCTAGTTCTAGGACTTGAAGCTGGAGTAGGTTCAGAGGAAGTTATCACAATGATAAAGAGTTTGAAAACCAACCACCTAGAGGAAATGTTAAAGGAGTCAGGGACTAACTTATAAAAAAAAGGCTGAAAGGAAATCTGGTAGTCATCTACAAATAACTAAAAAAACAAACAACAGGACAGGGTATGTGGGTTGAAATGAAAAGAAAGATAAATGCATGGTGATTATTATGATGAGTTTCTTGATGATAAAAACTGTTAAAACAATGAAACAGCCTTCCAAGAACTGTGATGGGTTCTTTCTTACTGGAGTTTTAAAAAAATACTGGATGCCTCCTGTTGTTGATTTAGCGAATTCTAAATTGAACAAGGGATTGGAATAGCTTTCCTATAACACCTATAGATTGCCTGTCCTATCCTTAGTTTTGTAAAATAATTAAATCCATCCCAATCACACGATCTGTAATCATGTGATATAATTAAATCTACCTGTTCTGAGTTACATTTGATAAAGTTTATATTAGCTGTGTACATTTGTTTGTTTACTAAAGAAAATGAATCTAGCTGCCCAGTGCCATCTTACCTATGAACCCTGGGTGGCTAACAACAGTCAGCCAAAAACAGTATATACGATGTCTATAAATCAATCAGAGGCAGAAGAATTAAAATAATTGAAGCACTGCATAAGTCTGAAGATGAAAGATCCAGCACATGGCCACTCCTTTGTGGTGTACCACTAGCATTACTGTCTCTTCTCCTTAACATCTACATGAAGATGCTGGCTGAAATTACCCAACGCCGCCAGATGAAGTATCATCAGTATGCTGTTGATACTTAATTTTTACATTTCTATCCTGGGCAACCCAAATTTTGTCGTGCCTGGAGGCTTTTGCTGAACCCTGTTAAACCAGAGTTGCTGAAGGTCCAGGGAGCCATAGAAACTTCAGCCCGTGCCTTGGCCCCCTCCTTTGGAACACCTTGCCACTGGAAGTGAGATCTTTCTCCATCCTTCTGGCCTTTTGGAAAGGCCTTAAAACCTGACTTTGCTAGTTGGCCTGGGGCTCTGAAGGGGACATACTAGTTGGTTGTATGATAGAAGGATAAAAGCCCATCCCTGCACCATTTTGTCCTCTTGGTTTTTTAGCCTTTGCTTAATTGTTGTTAATTTTACGGTTTTTAATATTTATGTTTTATGGCATTGTAAGACAGCCCAGAGTCAGTTTAGCTAGTGACATGCACTGCATATCAATTTAATACACAAATAAGAGTCTTCTACAAACCTAACATATTTGTTCTTTCCTAATGTTGATTGTATGACTGTCTGTAAAGAGGCTGGATATATAACACGAAAGTCCTTGTTTCAGGTGATCGTTATGAAGAGATCTCTAGGTGTTGGATATGCAGCAGTGGATAACCCCATCTTCTACAAGCCCAACACTGCCATGCTTCTAGGGGATGCTAAGAAGACTTGTGATGGTCTGCAGACCAAAATGAGGGAGTTGTATGCAAATTAAATATTAAAATGTACTCTTCGGCCAGTATGAACAACAACAAAAAAAACAACCAACAACTAAAAAAGTGTTATCTATCAACGTTAAAAGATAAAGGTTAGCAGGTGTTCTTGAAATGAAGATTTTAGGGGGCAAAGAGAGGAACTTTAAGGCCCAGAAATGCAGTGAATATTTTTTACTAAAAAGAGCAGGAAAAACAAACAAAAAAGAACCACAAAGCATTGAAACATTGAAGTGAACATTCTTCAGAACCTGGAATACATACAGCTGAATGCAGTCTATTTTAGAAGAATTTTCTTTGGCAACCATAACTTAACACAATGAGACTCAGGAATTTGGAGAATCTGTCTATTTAATGTGACATAAGACGTAAGGGAAACGACCATTAAAAGTTCTGTGGCCCTAGAGTTTAGCAAATTGTTCGTCGGGAATCATTAACAATCAATCTGAACTGGGTATTGGTCAGCCCCACTACATAGACCAGACCTGGACATCAGCGCTGCAGGAAGACTACTTTTATTGAGATTGGTTGTAATAACAGAATCTTGTGTATTTGATTGTGCTGTACCTCCTCTTCCTTCTTATACTTCAATGAATTAGGGAGGCATCTGTCTGAGCCAGTTTTGAATGTTATCTTCTTGTTCTGGACTTTAAAAAAAAATGCTTCATATCCCTTTTGCTTAAGTAATGGTTTGTCTGTCAAAGTCAGGGGTCCCCAAACTTGGCAACTTTAAGACTTGTGGACTTCTGGCTGGAGAATTCTGGCAGTTGAAGTCCACAAGTCTTAAAGTTGCCAAGTTTGGTCAAAGCCATCTTCCCTATTCTCTACAGTATTTTATGACCATCTGATTACATTATTCTAAACAGAAATGATGATAATGTTGGTAGTCATGAAGATGACTCTGGCCACTTATGAAATGCATTTTAATATATTCATAGTGGGTTTTAATGCATTTACAGAAACTGTCAAACATATGCTGTGAGTATAAAATGAAATTTCAGACTCTTGGAAATACCTTTTAATTTCATAATTTATTTGGACAGATGTGCTAAACCAGTCAACTTTGAGAAACACACCCATGTACCCAATCTCACACACAAAATTCAGATGACTGGTCTTCCTTCTACTTTAAATAAGACAACTGTTGAAGCTTCTGTATAGTGGTAAATAGATTTTTTAGTGGTTTCCAGCGCAGTCTTGAATATGTATAGTGCACTTGAGTGAAACTCAGATGTTTAACTAAATGAAATGAATTTGTCATGTTTGCATAATGATGTAGCAAGCATCTGTAGTGACAGAGGCAAAATAAATAGCTGTAACTGTTAGGAAGCCTTAACATCTGGGCAAAACAGCCTACCATGAAGTGAGTTAAACTAAGCCCAACTTGACTGTTTGTATATCCTGATTTTTATCGTTGGGTTTATGACCTCTTAATTTAATAGCAAATGAAAATGATGCCCATTTAGCTACCTCCTGTCTCCCTATGTTGAGCTTCCTCTATGTGGAATATCAGCTTAGAACAGTGAACTAAATCCAGTTTGAGCTTCCAGATCCATGAATCAAGAGAAAATAAATGTTTTTAATGAAATTCCATTTGTTTTAGTAGGGCTTTTCAGAAAAAGCATTCAGCTAGATGTTCAGTGTTTCTCTTTTTTAATTCTGTCCTTTTTTAGCAGTTTAGCAAAAACTTAATAGTGAAACATCAGTAGATTATTCTGCTGTATAAGGAAACTTGAGCCAAACAGGGCAGCTCTGTTTTAGCAAGATTTGTTTTGGGACCTTAAATTTCATTGAGTTGGTGCTATACATTTCTGTGTACAGCCTGCATGCAAATGTGACCAAGAAGAGGAGCATTGGTGAAGATAGCCTTGGATTGTTTAATGCTGCCTTAAAGCTGTAGCCTTTGTCTTATTTTAATATATTATCTTAATTTGAAGATACGCAAACCATTTCTAAGAAAATGCAAATTACAATTGCCAACATTAGAACAGTGTTTATAACAGGAGAGAATTATTTAAATAAAATAATAAAGTGAAGAAAATATATATTCTGCAAAATTTTCTGGCTGCCTGATTATTTTCTCAAAGGTGTAGGTTTTAGTGGGCACCACATGTTAATTTTTACATATTTATTTATCGTACGGCATAACATACATGAACTTACAGTATATATTAACATTTCACCATATTCAGATACCAATGTTTAGGCCAGGGGTGTCAAATTTGATTTCACTGCGGGATGCATCAGGCTTGTGTTTCATCTTGGGGGGGTCCAGTGGACATGGCCAACTCAACATTACTCGTGTCGGGGGCACCAGTGGTGGCCTAGGTGGCCAGCAAAAACAAAGGTCGGGAGGGCCCTTTTTTTGCTGGCAAGAGTCACTGTGGGCTGATCCTTTGCTGTTTCTAGGGGGGTCCTGCAGGCCAGATCTAAGCACCTCATGGGCCAGATCCAGCTCGTGGGCCTTGAGTTTGACATCCCTGGTCTAGGCCATCTAATCACTGAAGTACAGCATTGTTTATCTGAAAGAAATCAGAAACGACAGGTATATGCCCTCAGCTTACAGCCAGTCATGATGTGATTGATAGTTTGACATGGGATCCTGTAGTCACACCAAGGGGAGGATACTATACCCCATTTATACAGTGTACACTTATAAGTGAATCACAGCAGATGCCTGTGGGGTGTAAATCTTATTTATGCTTGACCATTGCTAGTGAGGTAGTCCAGAGCCTAGCACCTTTTGATCATCTATATGTTTTCCTGTGTCTGGGGATTCAGCAACCCATTTGGCTTTCCATTAGGAATCAGTGTTAAAGTAGTTAAGCAGTTGGTAATTTTTTCATTAAAAAATCATCTTCTCATATATAGATTCACTTTTTCATCTTCCATTCAGTACGGCATTACAAAAGTTTCGGGGTCATCTAACTGGGATGGGTAGCATTATCATATGTGCCAGATTTGTGTTGTACTTCCAAGCATCCTGGACAGTTTAGAAAAAAAGCTCAAGCTGTACATTCTCATAAAGCAGGGAGATGTTTTAGCTGTTCCAACTTGTTCCTGCTTTACCTGTGTAACCCTACAGCAGTGGTGGTGAACCTTTTCGGCACTGTGGAAATGGGAGCACGCACAGGAAACTAGAAGAGCGCCTTCCTGGCGGGGTGCACAGGAGTGCCAGAAATCAGCTCAGCTGATGCTTGCTGGTCACCTGATCTTCTGGTTTCCAGTGCTTCCGTATGCGCAAAGACCAGCTAGCTGGTGCACATGCATGTTCCAGACCCAGAAGAGCAACAGACAATGGCTGCAGGGGTGGGATTCTACCTGGTTGCACCGGTTCTATAGAACCGGTTGTTACAATTCTGCGCAGTTCAGAGAACTGGCAAATCACACCATTGGCTGGCCACGCCCAGTCACTCCTTACCTGGCATGCATGCCATCCAACTTGCCTGTGTTTTGCCTTCACCTAATTTTTGGTAAGTTGCTATTCCCCACCCCCCATCAGCTGGTGCTCCATTCAAACTCCAAGAAAGAAATACTCCAATTAATCAGAGAAAAGATATATTTTACTGGAAATCAAGTGGTAGCAACAAAAGAATTCTGAATCTGAGAAAATGAGCACGTAAATCACATATACAAAGTAATGGCAACGTTCCCACCCCCAATACTTCAATTGGCTCATCAAATTAAAAGTTGTGTATATCATGTGGGCATCTTCAGGTGGTGATGTGGCCTCTGTCCGTTGACCTTGACATATTTTAATAAAGAGTTGCAGCTGCGCATAGCATAAGATAGAAGCCTAAGCAAGAATCTACCCCCTCCGAGCTTATACAGTTCTGTTTTGTAACACCTCCAGCTCACTTCCCATAACCAAATCCCCCCTCCTTCCCCCATTACTTATGACAGCCGAAAGATGCAAAGCAAAGGGAGAAAATCTTGAAGGCTGAGACCCACCCACCCCCGACTATCTGAATGGCTGACGTCCCCGGAGAGATGGCTCTGTGTGCCACTTCCGGCAAATGTGCCATAGGTTCGCTATCACAATCCTACAGTCTACCTCTCCCTAAGGAAACTCACTTCCATCTTGCCTGTGGAAACCTGCTGCTCATGACTTTATCCCAGTTGAAATTGTTTGAAGATTGGGTGAACCTACCACTTTCATTTTTGGAGCATTCAGGGCTTCAATATGATCTACCAGTTTATTTTCTTACTAGCTTTTTCTCACAAGTGCAGGGTCCAACATGATTTTTTTTTTAAAAAAAATATACATATTGAATGTTATTCTTTACGTTGTGACAGGAATTGACCTTCTGGTTTGTCACCCAAGCCTGATGTGAGTTGAGAGTGAATGGGCCAAAGTTATTCAGATAACTTTTATGCCTAAAGTGGAACTCGGTTCACCTAAACACTAGACACCAAACTAGTTGTCTTAAACTGGATAGTAAACTGAGCTTATGATTTAAAACTAAGAGCATTCTGCATCCACCGAAAGATCAGTATTGTACACCAAAACAAATGTCTTTACTAGGGAAAAAAAAACTCTTGTTGTATGTGCCATTTTCTCGTGTATATTGTTTTCTTCACAAACTGCACCACTCCTTTACTAAATTGTTTATCTCATATACTGTATCCCTCTTACTAAATTAAAAACTAAAATTTCTCAAGATTAAAAACTCAGTTCAATTGGCTTTAAACATCAGATGCAAAACCCCCCTACATTTCCTTTATTTCAGGCTTCACAACATCTTGGCCCAGTCCTTGACAGTAATAGAAGGTATATGTAGATTGTCCTTTCCACTGTTGGGGAAAATTCCTCAAACCCTTTAGTGAGTGGAGAACCATTATCTTAACGACAAGTGTACACGAAGATAATACAAAATTCTGCCCAACCTCAACATGGAAGACAATGGTTTATATAATATCTTGTTTTATATAATTGAGCATTTGAAGCAAGCCCAGGTTGGATTATTCATAACAATGGAAATTGTTAATTCAGCATGCTTCAGCAATTTCCAAATTTCTCACTTCCTTGTTTCTTAACAGTTTCCTAATATTAGTGTGCTACATTCCTAAAATGTATTTAGGTGTTTAGCAATTTAAGCAATAAGCCGCCTGTGAAAAAGGAGATCTGGAACTTGCAATCAGGGTAGGTTCCTTTTATCCAATATTTGTCCATTACATTTAAATATATTTTCTAAATCAGGGGTCTTCAAACTTGACAGCTTTAAGACTTGTGAACTTCAACTCCCAGAATTCCTCCTCCAGTCATGTTAGCTCATTGCCAAGTTTGAAGACCCTCGCTCTAAATGTTATCTGGAATTCAGTGCATGGTCAGCATTCAGAACATCTGGAAGGCATCAAGTGGATACAGGTCTTGGGATCACTGCCATCTTTAGGAAGAGTTAAAGTGGCTTCTTCCATGGGTAACAGATTCTGGATGAATGGGAGAAAATTTTATTATTGATACTTTAGTTCACAAGAGGCATAAGTAAGATTTTTCTGCCTCAGGTACTAAAATAAATTGATTAATCTAAGATAATAGGTCCTTTTGTCATGGGGACTCTGGAGTAGACAAGGCTCATGGAATCATGACCATTTACTGCAAACTCAACCAAGTCCTTTTTTAAAATAGTATATTTTCCATTCTAAGACTTGGTTGATTTTTGATTTGAGGAACATTCATGAAATGCGCTCTGTGTGTCCTTTTCTATATCACAGGTCTGCCATCATTCACAAATTCTCACAAATCCTCAAAAAGGTGTTACAAATTGAGGGCATTGTGGGTAATTAGAAATGGCTTGTGTCTGTCCATCCAGAGGCTAAACAAATATAAACATGAGGTTCTAATCTACTAAATTATCATGGAGAAGGTCTATATGGTCAGAGATGACATAAATTTGGTAGCACATAATCTGAAGCATAGCAAGATACATATTCCTACTCTAGCATACTATAGAGCAGAGGTCTCATTTTCGCGGCCCGCGGGCCAATTGCGGCCCGCAGGACGATATCCTGTGGCCCCCACCGTGATATGAAAATATAATATAAAGTATAATATAAAGTATAATATTATGCGGCCCAGCCTCACCCAGACTCTGCCTCCAGCGGCCCCCAGGTAAATTGTGTTTGAGATCCCTGCTCTAGAGGTAAGTAAGAATTCCACTTACTTCACTCCTGCTTTATGGTATTTTCAGAAAAGCATTCTAATGCAAAACTTCTTGCCAAGTTTTTTAACCAAACTAGGGTTTATTTAACAAACCACACCTAGTTTATCCAAAATAAGCAAACATGAACTATTATTTACAAATCAATGATTGAATTTATATAACACACATTATATACTATGGTTGCTTGGGTTTTGGCTTATTGATTTGGTCAAACCAGCTCAAATGCCAAGGTACAGATCGGCTCTGTAAGTGGAAACTCTCATATCAATATAAGTCTAAACTCTTTCAGTCCTACAGGTTCTGCCAAACGCAGAGTTAACTGCATCCTTTGTGCAGTTTCCGC